TGGGGACTACACCTGAGGGGGAAATCAAATACTGTACAAAAATGAACAACAGTGTAAGAAACTTTAAAAGTTTAATCAATAAAAATAATTTTATAATATACATATAATAGTCATTTAATCAAATTAATAATTTTTATTTAGCAAAAGGGTTTTTTTAAGAAAAAATGAAGCAATCAAAATAAAAAAAAAGACTTGGGCCTCCCTGGTGGCACAAGGGGTTAAGATGCAACCTATGAAGCTGTCCACAGCCACTGCAGCACACGTTCGAACCCCAGCCGGTCAGGGAGCTACCCACACAGTGCAGCTGACCTCTCCTGTCTCCCCACTGCTCTCCCCTCAGCAGTGTATTTTAGTAGATCTGACTGTTCTGTTCTCCACTCTGTCTCTGGTGAATCCTCTCACCCACCCCACACCTTTGGCTTATACCCCAGTTCTTGTATGCATAAATAAATAAATCTTAAAAAAATAATAATTTTAAAAATTCAAAATAAAAAACTTAGTGAATAAGCTCATGCATAGAATGGAGGGGACAGAGGAAAGAAGCAATGAGTTAGAAGACAGAATAATAATGAAGAACAAAATGAACAGCTGTGAAAATGTTAAAGCAGTGCTAAGAGGAAAATTTACAGCACTGAATGCAAACATTAGAAAAGAGGAAAAGCGTCAAATCAATAATCTATGTCTCTACCTCAAGAATCTAGAAAAAGAAAAAGAAAACAAGCCCAAAGCAAAAGAATGATGGAAATAATACGCCAAGAGCAGAAATCAACAAAACTTGAAACAAGAAAGCAACAGAGAATATCAGTGGAAAAATGATCTGTGTCTTTGAAAACACCAAATTTCTAACAAAGCAGACACCTAGAGAAAAGATATAAATTACCCATATTCACGATGAAACAGGAAATATCACTATCTACACCAAAATCATCAAAAATGGATCTGCCCTATAACTCAGCACTCCAGGCCTATGTGTCTACCAGCAGAATACAAGAACACTAATTGGAAGGGAAATGTGCACTCCTGTGTTCATTGCAGCCCTACTTACAGTAGCCAGGTTAGAGACACAACCCAGATGCCCAAACACAGATGAGCGGATCAGGAGGATGTGGTCTACATACAGGACACAACACTACTCTGCTGTCAAAAAAGATAAACTCTTGCCATTTGCAGCAACATGGATGCAGCTAGAAGGGATGATGCTGAGTAAAATAAGTCAGAAGGAGAAAGACAAATACTGGATGGTGTCACTCATATGTGGAATAGAGAGAAACCAAACAAAGGGTCACATAAAGCCAAGCTACAAAAACTAACCCTTGAAAGTTGACTACAGAATGGAGGCTATAGAGAGAGGAAGAAGGGCAAGAGCACAGTGGGGAGAGAACACAGTGGACTATGATGGAGGGCGATAGGGATTTTAGTGGGGGTGTGGTGTGGTAACAACACCCGAAGGGGGAGATCCTATACTTCCAGAACACAAACAGTGTCAACCAATGTTACCTCAATCATAAATAAATAAATAAATAAATAACTATAAATTTGAGTGTGCCATTTAGAAAAAGTATACATACTCAGTGGAATATGTCTCAGTTATTTAAGAAAATAAAATCTTGCTTTTTTGCAACAACATCGATGGAACTTGAGGTGCTTTGTGTGAAACTGAGTCAAAGGCAATTATGGAAAATAAAGACAATTTCTCTCATGTGTGCAATATAAATAACCAAAGCTAAAGATCTAACAAATCATAACAAAAATGCTTCGACTCTAGAAAAATGTAATGGTGACCAACAAGGGTCAAAAATAGCTGCGAATTGGTTCAACTGGGCTTGTTACTGGATAGCTGACTAGCCTGTGATGGAATGAGCACAGGACTCATTACTGCCTTTTGTATACATCCAAAGTCATAAATCAGGGGTGTTAGCCCCAAAACTATCCACACATAACACAAAGTTAATATAATGCCCATGGAGTTCCGGTGGCCACAGGCGTCACATCATTGGCTCGCGTAGGTCTGTGAATTATAGTTCCATTGCGGCGCCAGATGGCCTGTATTTACATAAGTCAAAGCTCATGAAAAACCACTGTGTCTCTATATTAACAGAGAGTGTGCATTTCAAGGACCCAGGTTTGGGGCAGTTGTGCTAACTCATTTTATTTCTGTGGATAACTAATTTGTAAAGGCACTGTCCTTTAATAACAAGACAGGTTCAGTTTAATAAACAAATCTTACTATTTTTATGTCTTGGTTTTAAATTTTCTAGGAAAGCATGACGGTTAAAAACAGAAAAGGAGAATTCTCTACTAAGGGTCTTTAGTATATATTTTAAATAAATTACTGGAGGGAAATTACTTGCCAGCTTCATGTCTAATTCTGGGAAGATTTTATATTTATCAACCCGTTTCTGAGCATATGAGAAAACAGAAAGTTCGACAAACTCAGGCCCATTTGATCGTTGAGAATGTATTCAACATCCATAAGAATCTACTCATGCCAAGAACTATAATACATATGGGTGAAAAATACAAATCAAATATAACCTCTACCTTGAAGATCTCAAACTCTCTCAGAGGAGACAAGCAAACAGAAAGTTACAAGATAACATGGAAAGAAAGAAATTAAGAGATGAACAGAATCCGATGTAAATAAACAGTGAGCAAAGAGTGGTTGGAGCTTGGTCTGGGGGAGCCAAGCAGGACATCCAACTGGTCTGCAAGAAAAAGAGTAGGTGTCTGAGTGGCAGCGGAAAGGGAAGTGCATTCGAGACAGGAAGACAGATGCATGATGGGCTTGCACATGGCAGCGACTTCAGGACTTTTGCCCTTTCCCGTGTATGCTTCTAAGTCAGACTTCTCAGTGGTGTTCTTCTGGTTACAGTGCATCTAGGAAAAGACCCCCAGTGTACCCATTTCACCCTTCTGCTCCTCCAGCTGCAAGTTCATTCTCTTTCTCCTCCTAATCAGCTTCCTCCACGTTTCTCCTACCTGATTAACGTGCATGGTCATAAGCCCAGAAAGACCACCACCACCCAACTTATCCTGAACTTGCAGGCCAGGCAGCCCCGCTGCCATTTTGTCTCCCTTCAAGTCTCTGCGAGAGAAAATAGAATCGGCAGGCCCAGGTTCCCAGATGAACTGAACATGGCTAAGAGTGTTAACTGAACATGGCTAAGAGTGGTGAGCAAGTGATGAAGGACACACAGTCTATCTTGCTGCTCCTCTTTCACCATCGAGATGGCTGCTTGAGCATCCCGTGTCCATGCTGCCAGGCTGTGGGGAGAGAGGCCACTAGTCCCGAATTTTGGTGTCTTGCAGTCCCAGCTACGTATTATGACAACTTCTAGGATTCAGTTAAACATTCTGGACCATACCTCAAAATTCTGATATGATTAGCTGGTCTGGGCTGAGGCTCCCCGGGTGAAGTACTGTGCACACACAGAGACTCGTCGTAGCACATTGCAGAGCAGAAGTGACCACCTTCCTGAATCTGGGACTAATGAAGCCCTGCCAGTTTTGATCCCCACATCAGCCACATCGCCCATCCTCTCTACCAGCACCCAGATGATCCTTCATACCTCAGCCATCAAACAGCCCCAAACAGCCTCAAAATAAGGAAGCAGCTTATTCAGCTATATCCCTTCCTCCAGAAAGGCAGACCTTCCCGATTGTAGAGAAGGGAAAGAGCTAATGGAGAAGCCAGGATGATGTATGACAACAGATATTCTCACGGGCTTTCCTGGATTCTATATACCAGTGGCGACATTAGCTCTGTGGCTTATGCAGTGCTCCAGGCAGCTGGCCTGGCCCGACAGCGTCTGTCCTCTCCACCACCCAGCCCACAAGCATTTCTCCCTGTTTGGTTTAGAGTCAGTTCCTTCAATGCTCTGTGGGGAGCAACTTCTTAAGTCATTCTGTCCCAACCCCTCACAAGGTCATAAGATTAGAAAAATACTAGGATGGTAATGTCCTCAGGAGTGAGGGACACCATCCCATGCAGGTTACTCCATGACTAGTTGCCACACGGTTAATTGTTTGTCCCAAAGCTTATCTCCCTTTTCCTCCAAAAACAACACTGTGGGACCAGCACAAAGCCATCAATGACTTAGCCCAAGATTTCCTGGCATGGATCCGCAGCCGGATGTTTATCCTGGGCTTGCACGTCCAAGGACTTTGCATAGAAATGCAGCAAGGACACACCACTCCGGGGATGTGTGTGCTCAGCACCCCTGTGTTGGAACTCACGAACTGAGGCAAAGAACAACTCTGACTGACATAACACCAATGCACGGAAAGGGCACACGCCTCAGACAGCTGACTGACACGCGGGTCACTCACACATGTGCTTGAACCTCACACCATATGACTCATTACCAACACATATTCATGTGTTCAGAAAGTGTCTACTTCTCCCTGATCACGCCCTTAGGAACTACCCTGCACATCCAGTGACATGGTGCTTGAGGAGATGAGCCGGCCAGTCCCACTGCTCGTCCCTGGCCTAGAAGGTTGATTGGGGGGAGGGGCTCCCCTCTTGGCACAAACAGCAAAGGTGGATCCACACAAGAAAGGTAGGCAGCAGGGCGATAACTGGGTCTCACCCCTGCCTCTGTGGAGGGCCACCATGAGGACCCCCACTTGCCACCCTCTCCTTATGTGACCCTCTCCTCATATGGCTGGACTTGCCCTCGGTCATCTCATTCACCTCTGCTGCCCAAAGCTGGTGTGGCCACAGTGACAGCAGGTATGGTGTCCTGTTCTCTCCTGTCACCACACTTCAAGGTCTCCCAGAGTTCAGGGAAGTTCACCTGGTTGGATATGCCACATGCCAATGCCCACAGTCTGCGGCCATCAGGTCAAGAGTAATCCCAGGAAATGGACTTGCATGATAGCCTGGGGCAACCCTTCTTGTCCCCCCAAGGCCTGGGTAGTAAAGGCAGGGTGCCTGTGGCAGGACCACTCTGTGTCTCCCCCTTTGTATCTTCTGTAACTGGTCGCTCATGGCTTACCTTGAGGTCCAGGCCAATGGAGAGAGAATCAGCACAGAGCTCAGCGCAGTTCTACAGAGGGGACCTGGCCGGGTCAACTAGAGAGCTGCGCCTTCCACGACACCAAGTGAGAGTTGACTTTCAGAGTTAGAGCTGCCTTTGTTCTGTCAGCTCTCCTGCTGGTATTCAACTATTCTGCAAAGAATCTCCAGCTCCTCTCTGCGTCAGAAAGTGGAGATAAAAGGGGAATATAGCAGAGACCTTGACCTCAAGCAATTCAAAGCCGAACATGAAGCTCGGAGCTCATCATCCTCTGACTCCTCTTCAGGAGAGGTATTCATTGTCCTGCACTGACTCATGTGCCCTTGTCAGCTACGTTGCTTCCATTCCCTCATCTTGAAAATGGTCTCACAGTTAATTGTCCGTAGACAACATTTACTTTTTAGGAAGAGTTGCCAGATCCAAATGAAGTTGGAAGAAATGGTTCCATGGAATATATGAGGTGATACCTGACATGCAAATTTACGGGAAAAGAATTAACAATAGGTACATGGGAGTTCCTGCAGATGGAAAAACATTGTTTTGTTTTTTTAAATACAAACTCTACTCATTTTCATAATAACCATGTGGTCATATTAACTAAAAGAGTAATAACTGGGGGGAGAATGAGAGTGAGAAGCAGAATCCAGAAGATTGAAATACACATTGATCATGACAGAAAGTGATAAGAAAATAATTTAAATTGATAAATTAATCAATAGCAGGGAAAAGCTTATCATTAAGAGCTGTCGAAATAATTACCAGAAGAGTTAAAAGTGGTTTTCTTTGTGTAGTAAGACAAGATCTTACTGGGGAGGGTGGTGACCTGTGGTTTTTTAATAGAGGACTTTTAGGGCTGTGATTGTTTAAATGTGTTTTACCTTGATTATTATTTCTCTAATCTTACTTTTCAGAAGATTTTCACTGCGCTTAACCATGGACATGCACTAGGGTGCAGGGTGTTTATAAGCTTTAGTCACTGGGCAATCATATGGGTCTGGGGCAACATAGCCAATCATGGGTTCCTGACCATAGAATCCAAGGTCAAGGGAAGGACACATAATTATATACCATCATGCAAGCAATAGAGCACAAAACAATGGTCCCCAGTAAAATAATGGCATTCAAAGATTGCCTACTCCTATTTAATGATGCTTATTTAATATATTGCCCATTAATACATGTGCCAGTTTTGGCGTATTCCATAGAAGAAACTGTCATGGAATGCATAAGCCAGAATTGGGCTTTTACACTCCAAATCCATTGACCTTTGCAACATTTACTTCCCAATATTTTCATTCAGAAATCCTAGCTACCCTGGTCTGATCACTATTTTCAAGGTAAGTTATCTTTTCTTTTTGGCCCCACAACCTTTGGTCACATTTTTTAAGCATCTCACTACCTAGATCCTTTCTGTTCTCTCCACCTTTTGGAATGCTGCCCAGCTTTCAAGACCCAGCAGGTGCATTTCACCTCCCATCACTCAGCCACATGCTGCAGAGGTTAGTCCACTAAGACCTCTGTATCATTAGAATGTATCTTTTTTTAAATTTTTTTTTATTGTGGCAATGTTTGCTTACATCATTGCTTGTAGTTTGGGACTATAGGATTTCCCCCTTCAGGTGTTACTACCATAGTGCACCTGCCAATGCACTAGTAGTCCCATGTCACAGTGCATCAGTTTTTAGAAAGATTAGAATAAGTTTCATACGGGTGGGAGTGTGCAAAACTTACTTCAAAGAATGCTTTTAATTTTAGCAGCAGGGAATGGCAACCATGCAAAGGCATTTGGAGGTGGGAAGCATGAGCAAAGCCCTCCCAGCGGGCATCTCTCAGGATCAGTGAGGACCCCATCATGGTAGGAGGGACAAGTATATAGAGAATATGGGGGCAGGGGGGTGGTGAACCTGTAACCACAAGTTGGTGACTTGGGAGAAGACCTTGAATGCCAGATTGAGACATTTTATATACCCTGGTCAGTAAGAGAGCCTTGGAGTTTTTTGAGCAAGGAAGTGGACTAATCAAAGGTTCCCTTTACAATGATGACTTAGCAGTAGTTAATAAGAGCATGTGAACTGGGTGAAACATAAAATAGAGACAGCACTTAGAAACTATTCTAGTCCTTGCAGAAATTTTTCGAGGGTATGAGCTAATGTGGTCAAGAAGGCAACAAAGATGGGGTGGGAATAGCTTAGAAGTAGACCTCCAAGTGACTTGAGAGCTGATGGGTCCATCTTTCTGTCTATCTCGTTTTGTACAAAGAAGAGGCTCCGGTTTTCATACCTGGCAAACTCGGAGATGGTGATAGAAAGAGAAAGATGAGATGATTTGTGTAGAATGTTTTAAATACACCATAAGGATATTTAAGTGCAAATATCCAATCCAATTTGAGGAAAGGACAGGATCTCAGGGATGAAATCAGAGCTGGAGATCAAGCTATCTCAGCAGCAGCAGATTATCTGAGCAGAAAGAAGTAGACAGAGAAGAGGTTCATAAGTAATAGCCTTTAAAAGTCCTTATCAAAACAGAGACCAGCTCTTAGATAGATAATAGGAACAAAATGGTGGTTGCCAGCAGGAAAGTGGGGGGGGGGGCAGTAAATTAGGTAAAGAATCAATTGTAAGAAGGATGGACACAAGACTTTGGGTGGTGATCAGAAAGTAATACATAAAGAAGTCAAATAATAATGCTTATACTTGAAACGTATCAACCAATGTTACGTCGATGAAAATATTTTTAAGTCTTTGTTTTGTCATTTTCATGTGGGTTGGGTAAAAAAAGAAGAGAAGGGAGGAGGAGACTTATAATAAAGTAGCCCCTCTCTTTTTGTTGTGATAGTTTTGCTTATTTTCTGTTCTATCCATTTATTTCATAGCGCGGAGGAAAGCAAACAAGTGGGCCCATTTTGCCCTCTTGAGCTGAAAGCCCATAATAGTGAAGATTCTAAGAGAGATTTAAAAGTTGTATCCCCAAGGAAGAGCGCAATTCTAAGTGGGGGACTATAGTAGGCCCCCGACAACACTGCATTCCCTGCCACTTGAAGCCCCTGGAGGTGATCTAGAAGCTGAAAGTCATCATGAGCTAGAAGCTGAACAAGAGGGGGATTAAGAGGACATCGACCGTGCTGGTTGGCCCAGAACTGAGGCCTTTCCCAGCACATAAGACTTTTAGTGCTAACCTTGAGGAAGTTCTGGGCAAACCAGGGTGGTTTGGACACCTACAATGGGGTGGAATGAAGGAAGTAGGCAGATACGTCAGAGATCTCATAGCCACTATTCTCTAAATTCTCTCAAAATGTGCCCAGGGCTGGGAAGCAGGCATGCATGGGGAAGGTGGGTTCTGCTGGGGTCACTCGGGCGGACAGCTCTGAGTTCACCAGGGGGATCTTTATTCACTAGTAGAACTAGAGCCGCTGGACCTAACCAGGGACTTGTCCCGGGGCCCATCCCTGTAGATACCACAAAGCGGAGGACAGGGCTGGAGCAGGAGGGCAGGGGGCTTGGGCCAGGGCACTGCCAGGCTGGCAGACAGAAACTCAGCAGCCACACAGTCACCCATGAGTGACGTGGCTGAGAAGGCAAGCAGGCAGAAACCAGTGGGTTAAAGCGACCTCTGACACAAGGACACTGTTCAGTTGGTCTATACACCAGGAAGAACAGCCTGCCTCCTGTCCCGGGGACACGTGCATGCCACATGCCACTGTGCAGATCCTGTTGGCGTTTCCTATAGAAGCAGAATTTGCCAAAAGGACAACTTGAAAGGTTAACAGGGTGTTTGGGAAACCCCAGCCAATTGGCCTAAAGGGACACACAAACCACTTCTTCCTCCTCTTCGTCCCTGCAGAAGTCCCACAGGCAGTGTTTGCACATCCTCCTGTGCTTAGCCGAGCTGCCAGGGTAGGTATTCGTCATGGAATCTAGAGCAGAGGGCAGCTACAAGGGTTCAACTGTGATTTTAAGTCATGAGGGCTGCTACAAGGGTTCAACTGTGATTTTAAGTCGTGAGGGCAAGATAACTGTCACGAGAAGATAACTTTTGCAATTAGGGAGGCCTAGACCCTGACTCAATCTGGCCAGTAAGCACCCGTTCCATCTTAGGTAAAGTACCTGGCAATATAGGTCTAAAAATCCCTGTCTCTTAGTGAGTTCTGGCATACAGAGACCTAGTTATAGGCCAATTCCTGAGGAAAGGAACCTTCCTGGCCCCACAGAATGCCTCAGCTCCCTGTGTGGATGTGTGTGTGACTCTGTGTGTGAGACTGTACGTCTATAGATGTGTATGTCGCTGCGTGTGTAGCTGCACGTGTGACTGTACGGGGTATAGCTGTGTGTCTTTGTGTGTAGATGTAACTATATTGTGTAGCTGTAGGTGTGACTATGCATCTGTGTGTGTGTGTAGTGTATGCTTTTATGTGTATTGTACAGTGTGGTTGTGTGTCTGACTCTGCATGTGTGTAGGTGTGTATATAGATGTGTGTGTGTGTGTGTGTGTGTGTGTTCAGATGATCCTCTGGCCTAGAATGTTCCCTTTCTTCCCCATCCCTCTTCAGCAGCAGTATTTTCTCTGGGTGATGTCTCCCCGGCTCCAAATTCAGACAGGCTCAGCTCTCCAATCTCCCACAGGCTCCCCATTCAAAACCACTGGGGGCTTCCACCCACTGTAAAAGGAGCTTGTTCCCAATTCCAGAGTACATGAAGCTAACTATCGCTGAGATACCCTGCTCTGTCTGGTATGCAAATTGAGTCAGAACTGATCCCATGCCCCAATCCTAGATACTCAGTTTCTAGATGAGCCAAAGTCGCCCCCACCCCGTACAACAACCCCAGCTCCGTCTCTCAAACCACAACCCCCTCCCTACTTCCCTTTGCTCCCTACACACGGAACTCATCAGGAACCATGCAGCCCCCAGGGAAAGACTTCCACAGTGGAGGACATTATGTTTCTGGAACTGGAAGGCCCCATTAGGGCCTCCCTGGTGGCGGAGGCGGTTGAGCACAGCACTGTGAAGCTGTCCACAGCCTCTACAGCGCTGGTTCGATCCCCGCCGGCCGTGGAGCAACCCACATGGTGAGCAGACCTCTCCTGCCTCACCCGCTGCTCCCTTCAGCAGTGTATTTCATTGATCTGCCTGTTCTGTTCTCCACTCTGTCTCTGGTGAATCCTCTCACCCTCCCATGCATCTGGCCTGTACCCTGGTTCTTGTATAAATAAAATAAATCTTTAAAAAAAGAAGGAAAAAACCCATAGAAGTAAAAGCTTCCTGCTAAATCTATGAAAGGGGAGGTATTCCAAAGCAGGGGGATCTGGAACTAGAGAACGCTATTTCTGCTTCTATTGTCGGGCCACTTCGTTGTTGGGGGTGGGCAAAGGCATCAGAGACATGTCAGAGGACACACGGCTCTTCACTACCATCTGCAGAATTAAACTCCACTCCAGGTGCTGACCTCAGACACCTGGGAAGAGCTGAATTTGAGAAAGGAAGTTGGGAGATGGGGGTGGGGGAAGAAATAAATAAGGGACCAACCACAGCTGGCCCCTTGAACAAAGTTAAAGGAAGGCCCCATTTTTCTGGCAGGGCTGACATGGAAGGTGGGAACTTAAGGTTTTCCTGCTCTTTCATGTTGGCACTTGTCACCCCCTCTTTGGCCTCCATTTCTTCTCACTTTTCTCCTCCTCTGGTGTAGAGAAACGCTGAGGAAGATGGCGCAGTAGGAAGTCAGTGAGTAAGTCTCCTGTAAGTGTTGGGTCCAAACATGTGAAACAACACTCTGTCATTGGAAATGTTGTGCCCACTCCATCCTCATACATGTGTGCGGGCACACACACACACACACACACACACACACACAAACTTCAAAGCCCCCCCAGAAAACTTTTCAGCTAAGACTCAGAGAATCAACTCAAGACACAACAGCAGTATGTCACCCTCTCAGCAACTGGCCAGAGGATAGCATTACCATATAGAGGACATTAGGATGGATGACCTTGGTGAATAAGGGTCTCCAGCATATAGAGGTGAAGGAGACCACGAGGAGGCTCTGCAGGGCAGACACAGTCGTCAAACAAATAAGAGAAGTCAGAACACAACTCATGGCATAAAAGCAACACAACAAAATGTAACTGGAAGAAGCTGTCACTTGTTTTTAGTAATTCAGCGTTGGTTAGAATGTGGGGAAACTGGATGATCACATGCCACTAAAGGGGGTATCATTTTGGAACAAACAGTAGAGCTGGAACTTTTTACTTACTGAGTCCAGGAATATTGACTGATTTATTCTTTCACCCGTCTACCATTTATGTCTTCATCCCAGGTACTGTTCCAGTCACTGAGACTCTGTTGATTTAAAAATCTGCCCTCACAATGTTCACACTTGAGTTAGGATCCTATTACGATATTCTTCCAAAGAGTTAAAATTGTAAGAAACTAAACATTTAAATAAGGGATTGGTTAAATAAAACGTATGCATTCAAAATTATGTTCAGTCTACAATAATCTGTCTTCTATCCTAGAACTTCTCCACCTATGAAGAGACACTGAAACATCCTCAGTGGCACTGAGAACCCAGTACCATGGCCTGGCATCTCCCTGCCTGCTTTCCCATCTGAAATGCCAGCTTTATCATGAGCTGGTACCTGGGTCACTTCAAACTTTCCAAGATGCTTTTAACCAATACGAGTTCTAACCTGATCAAGGGTTATTGTCTCTTCCTAAACACCAGTAGTATTGGGGGGCATTAGAGTTCTCAAAAGAAAACAGAACTAATAGAGGATATAGACAAACATGCATAATACACACACACACACACACACACACACACGGATATATGACAGAGATTGATTTTATTACTGTAATTATGTAGGTTGGCAAGTCTGGAATCCACAGGGCAGGCCAGCACACTGGATACCCGGTCAGAAGGTGGTATAGGGGCAGAATTTCCTCTTCCTTGGGGACCTGAGTCCTTTCTCTTAATGCCTTCAAGAGATTAGATTAGGCTGCCCTACATTTTAAGACATAATCTGCTTCACTCAACAACTATTGATTTAAATGTTAATCTCATTTTATAAAAAATACTCTCATGGTGACATCTAGAGAGGTGTTGAACCAAAAACCAGGTACATGGTTTAGCAAAGTTGATAAGAAAAACTAATCACCATACTAGTCATGACCTGCATGAGATTTGTCATGTCCACGGAAGGTTCTCACTGGTACAGCTCCATGGAAATCTCTAGGCCACATCTGACCCTTTTGGAGCTCTGCTTTGTTGGGAATATGCTAGAGAGGAATATTCCTCAGAGTCAGGGCTGTCTTTAACCCCAGAAAAAAAGTTCTTCATTTTCCTAGATTCTTTTGTCTTACTTCTTTATTAATGTCAGTGAGCATGCGCTGCTGGTGGAAATCATTAACAAGTAAGCGTAAGAACAGGTGTAAAGAAAATGACAAAGTGGGAGAATGTTTAAAAAGGAGGGCCACTGTGGCCAGGGCAAAGTGGAATGAAGCATTGGTCTTGAGCACATATAAGGAAAATAGAGGGTAGCGTGTGATCACAATAACGGGTGAAATTATAAGTAAATAATGACAAGATTGATGTCAAGTTTAAAAGAACGAAGAGGGATGTACAGGAGCAGAACAGGCAAGGCAGCGCGATTTAGTAAGGCACATTAGAAGATCTGAAGCTTACATTTGGACATTAACTCTGAATCCACTTATAGAAATATACATGAATAGGGGCCTCCCTGGAGGCGCAAGGGGTTAAGATGCAACCTGTGAAGCTATCTGCAGCCACTGTAGCAGGAATTCGATCCCCGGCCAGGGAGCTACCCACATGACACAGCGGACCTCTCCTGACTTGCCCACTGCTCCCCTCAGCAGTGTATTTCAGTCAGTCTGCCTGTTCTGTTCCCCACTCTCTCAGGTGAATCCTCTCACCCCCCCCCACTTCTGGCCTGTACCCAGTTCTTGTATGTATAAATATATAAATCTTTTATTTTTTTTTTAAATCTTCTATTTTTCTTTTTTTTTTTAATATTTATTTATTTATTTATTTATTTATTTATACAAGCACTGGGTACAGTCAGAAGCACGGGAGGGTGAGAGAATTCACCAGAGCCAGAGCGGGGAGCAGAGCAGGCAGAAGGACCGAAGTACACTGCTGAGGGGAGCAGCAGGCGGCAGGAGAGGTCTGCGCGCCATGTGGGACCCTCCTCCAGTGGCTGGGGAGCAGCCGGGGATCGAACCGGCGCCGCAGAGTCTGCGGGCAGCTTCACAACCCAGCGCTCAACCGCTGCGCCACCGGGGAGGCCCAATATATAAATCTTTTAAAAAAAGAAATATACATGGATAACTCTCAGAATTCTGACTCTTTCACATTTCCTGGGATGCAACCTGCCGTGCAAAGGACACGGACCAAGTCCAGAATGTCAGATGTCGCAGATTAAGGAATAGATTGAATTGAGGAAAGAGAAGGATCATAACGCCAGTATCAGCAAGAATGAGTTTCTCTCCCTCTCATCCCATGGAGGGATTCCAGGCCATAATGATCTCCTGGGTGTAGTTGGGGTTCCATTCATTGGAGGGAATCCTTCTCCCTGTAGGTCTGTCTCACACCTTAGGCTGCACAAGTCTAAGAAAGTGGTCTTGTCAATAGTGAAATAAACATAGTCTTTGATGCCAAAAAAAAATCTGGTTTAGGAATGCCAGCTATTTACAGGAGTTGCCTAGAATTGAAACATTGCCTGGCATTGGGGAATCTGGGGGTGCTTGGGATCTTAGGCATCAGCAGAACATAACTGTTACCCTTGAAATTAAGAACTCAACAATCACAAGTGTCTTCATGTCTCCTAGTGCTGTGGCCTCAGTTCTCCATCGTCCACAGCAGCCCATGCCCAGCTCTCCCCTTGCAGGTCTGGTGGTCTCCCCTCAAACGATCCCATCACCCTCGACCCCTAGAAATTTTCTGATCAATTCCTCCTCTTTTTTTAATATAAACTATTTTGCAATAGAGCCTTTTTTAATTTTTAAGATTTCTTTATTTATACAAGAATTGGGGTACAGTCAGAGGCACAGAAGTGTGAGAGAATCCACCAGAGACAGAGCAGGAGCAGAACAGGCAGATGGACTGAAGACACTGTTGAGGGGAGCAGCGGGCGAGATAGGAGAGGTCTGCCTCGCCATGTGGGTTTCTCCCTGGCTGGCCAGGGATCAAACCCACACTGCAGAAGCTGCGGACAGCCTCACAGTACGGCGCTCAAACCCCTCTGCCACTGGGGAGGCCCTCAATCCCTTCTCTTGAACTTATTATAAGGGATCAAGAAAATGTGTCTTAAACCTGTGGTCTGAAACCTCCTGCTAAGATGGTTCTCACAAGACTAGGGGAGCAGTGACTGAAGCTAGAGTTATACACAGCAGGAAAGACAAGCATACAGTGGGCTGCAAAAGAAACCATTTCTATAAGTTAGGGAAGGGTAAGGGCATCTCTTGAGGTCCTGGGCATTTTCTCTGATACTGAGAAAATGAGGAAGGATTATCCAACTCCTCTCCCAGACTCTGACACTCTAGCCAAATGTTGACTTTTTCCATAGGAAAACAAACTTCATCCCAATGAGGAAAGATCATAAGTGGGAAGGTTAAACTGGGTGATTGACTGCATGGATCTGCTTGGCAGCTCACCCACTTCCTCACTCGGCATATAAGAAGTAAGCTGGGCACCCGGGATTCACTGCTTTAGGACGTCACACCGTCTCTTTCAGAATGTTCTCTCTCCAGCACCAGTTCAGGGCCAGCTGGGCCGTCCTGCTCCTGGTTTTCTGCCTGCAGCTTGGGCTCAACAATGCTCAGACAGACACGTGAGTCATCCCTGTCTCCTCACAGAAAACTTTGCAGGGAGTGCTCCTGACCTAGCCTAGAAATCTACATATGCCATTCTGAAAAACTCTCCACCTTCCCAGAGCTTTAGTCTCAGGAAAGACCCAGCCAAAGTTCCACTGCTCCCAGGAGGCCCCATGCATTCCCCTCGCATTTCCACAGAGTGCTTCTAGTCTGCCCGTGGAAATAAGGCTCCCGGTTGCACATGAGAACTGTAATTGACAAGTAGCTCTGCTCTGTGGCTCTGATCCACATCCTGTTCTTGGTCCGAAAGTGCTCACCTCACCCGCTGAGAGTTTAGCAGGTCCGTGAGTTCCAGCAATAGCTTTGGGCAACTTTGCCGGGACTCTCTGAAGGAACAGAGCCCATTGATCCTCGGCCCCATGATTAGAAGTTGAGTAAGCCCAGTCCCTTAGACATCCTTCCTATTCTGAAGCCCAGAGATGATTGGAGGAAACCATTCATCCCCACCACTAACCCCTCCCGTACCAGGACACAGGAGCATGGGTTTGGAAGTCAACATATTCAGCGTACATGTTGGGTCACGTAAAAGGAAATAGAAAAATGAAGCTTCGGGGGAGATGCAGAAACACTGAGCACTTCTAAGAGGTCTTCCCAGGAAACAGGGTTTGGAATGCGGGGTTTCTGGCAGGATTACAGTGGTACTCTCTATGTCCTGTCCTGAAGGACACCATTCAGGATTTTAACAGGTTAGTCTAATGGAGGCAGGGAGCCTCCGAAACCCTAAGTGGGACGGGTTCAGAGACAAAAGTCACTCCACATAGCCATAAGGGACAGCAAGTGGTTAAAATAAGCTATGCTAGCTAGGCTCAGCACCCCCCAGTTTGCCCAGGAATTCTTGGTTTTGGCACCAAAAGTCCTTCACCCTAGGATACCCCTTGCAAAATGGGGGAGTAGCCACTCCAGCTAAGCTGTTCATCCTAACAATCCTAAATCCACTCACAAAAGGGAGGGCTAGGAAGACACTGAAATCCTCACACCCCTCTCCTGGCTACTGAGCACTGGAGCAAGTGGATGGGGAAATGGAATCTCTCTGAGATCTGACGTGCTTTTCCCTAGGAATATGGGACTGTGAAGAAGCACTACAGGCCTGGAAGCACTCCTGTCCCACCAACCCCATAGGCGCCTAGCCAGGAGCTTCAGGGAAAGAAAGAGTAACTCTGGTGGTTCTGAACCCAGCCCTCACTGACAGAAGAACATCAGACTATTCTCTCTGCCTCCATTTCCTTTTTCCTGTTGAGGATGACATGTGGCCTGGATGTAGGATTCCCAAATACGGTTAGGTTATATGTTCAAATCTCTTATAGAGTTAAATAAATACAGATTCCTAGACCCCACCAGGAAACAAAGGAGGCGCTCCAAGAATGGTCATCCAAACTCCCCCAATGCTCTGAGAGGTTGTGCTTTCACGTGATCCTGTTGATATGGAGTTTTCTATTCACGAGGACTTGAGTCTTCTCAGTCAATGGATAGTCAGCAGAACCTGCAGGATCTTATTAGGAAATAATATATGGCATTGTATTTTTGTCCTTTTTTACTTTATTTTTTGTTAATGGAAGGAAAGAGGCACAACTTTCAGTGTCCAAATTGCTTTATTAAACAAAACTAAAAATCTGTACTCAATCAACCCCAAATCTAGAGTCCCCAGGAGATTCGGATGCTCAGAAATCAGTCCAACACCCATCATTTCACTGTCCCTGTACCTCCCCTGCGCATTCTGCCTTGCACATTAGGCCCCATGTCTTGTGGATTGATCTTTGACCTCTGATATGTTTCTCTCTTCCCCCAAACCAGTGCAACGATAATAGGAATGAACGTGACCATGCCCAGCAGCGTACGGGCAGATGAACTAACTGAGGTGATTCTTAAGGTGAACACAGATATGAGAGAATGTATGGTGGTAAGTAAATGCCTAAACTAATCTGACTCCTAAATTATAAATTCAATTAGATTAGTCTCTCTTTAATATTGCACAGCATCATTAATCATTGCGAATCAACATTCTCATACATGTTATGCCACTCGAGTCTCAGTGATAATCATGGGAGCTCGGAGCCAACTACTCTTCTCACTTTAGAGATGAAGAAAACCTGATCTAGAGACCTCTAGGAAGACTAGGAGAAAGAAGGAGAGGTGGGAACAACATAACTAAGAGGGAGAGGAGGAGGCCTCCCTAGTGGCCAACGGGTTAAGTCTCAGCACTGCACCACGACGGCCTCAGTTGGATGCCCAGCCAGGGAGCTGACCCACATATGGTGCAGCGGACCTCTCCTGTCTCCCCGCTGCTCCCCTCAGCAGTGTTTCAGTAGACCTGCCTGTTCTGCTCCCCACTCTGTCTCTGGTGAGTCCTCTCACTGCCTACACCCCAGTTCTTCTACACAAAAATAAATTTTAGGGCCTCCCCTGGTGGCGCAGCGGTTGAGCACTGGGCTGCGAGGCTGCCTGCAGCCTCTGCAGCACCGGTTCGTTCCCCGGCCACCGGCGAGGGTCCGCCAAAAAAAATAAATAAATAAAAATTAAAAATCTTTAACAAAAGAAAGACGGAGAGGAGAGAAAGAAAGTATCAGAGCCAGGTAAGCCTTGATAAGAGCTGCTTCAGGGTCCTGGGCATGACTGTGTGAGCTGGGAGGGGGGGGAGGGGCTTTCAGAAGGGAAAACTGCAACCCCATTCCACAGGTTGAGGTAAGAAGGAAGGTCCAATTTTTGGACTCGAGAAGAGGTTCTCAAGTAGTAATATGCAGCGATACTCCTTGAAATCTTGTTAAAATGCAGTTTCTGCATTTCTGGGGAGAGACCAGAGCTCTTGTATTCCTAAGTCTCCCAGGCCATGCCCCAGCTGGGGTTCCAAGGACCACACTTTGAGTAACAAGAGATGAGAATGGATAACGTGATCCCTCTTGTCTGACTGCTGCAGGCCAGGAACGAAAGGGTCCTATGTGGGTGCAACACACAGAGAGACCCTTGCCCAGGAAAAGCATGTCCTGCACCAGCTCACCAAGGGGCCTCTCACAGGTCAGAGGAGTGCACCTGCCTTTTGTAAACTACCTGTGTCCCAGGGCTAGGACAGGTGCGCCTCCACCTCCTTCAGGAAGGTCACCTAGTGGTGTGCGTCCCAACTAAATGGAAGAACTAGTGCTAGAATGCTTAAATTGAAACCAAAATTGGGAGCAGGTAGACTCCAATCCATTAAAATATATTCTAAAAATGGCCCCACACAGGTAAGAGAAAGTTTTCTGATCACTGAGCAAAGAATAGCACAGCTACTTTGTCACAATTTCTAAGTGTCAGAGTCCCCGGGGAAATTTAGATTTGGGGCTTGCTGGGCGTTATGTACAGATTTAGTTTTGTTTAATAAAGCAACTTGGACATCTTCTTTCCTTCCATTCACAAAAAATTAAAGTAAAAAATGATAAAAGTACAATACTATATATCACTTCCTAAGAATGTCCAAGAATATGAACCCTGGATATTAATTTGAGGTGAGAGGTAGGCAGCGTCATAAATGTTTAATGCTGTATATTGTTTATTATAGTCACAGGTAAGAAACGGAGTAAGAATGTGTACTTAAAAGTTTTGTGATAATGGCAGTCTGGTGGTAATAGGTAACAAAAGTCTATTTTGTTCCCTCAGAAAATGATAGGCAGTGAAAAATTAGTTTCTTCACCAAATGACATGTGATAATTCTGTGCTACTGTGATGAATAAGATTCTGTTTAAAGGTCAATGTTAGTATAATATAATAAAGTGTCCTTCTTAAAACCTACCTGAGTATAAGTAAAGGACAGGAAGTCCATAAAAACCTTGACATTAATAATCAGAAATAATCTATTCCAGGAAATTTTGTTAGGTTCTGGCCCACCAGTTTTTATTTGTAGCTAGTTCCTAAAAAAAAAGGATATAAACTGTAGAGCACCTTTATATTTTTAAAATTTTAGGAAAGTAGAATTTGTTTTTATGTGAGAAATTGCTACCACCTAATCCTCATTTTCTATCAATTATGATATGAAATTTAAATAGGATAGATGACTATAAAATTTAAATAGGATAGATTATACTCTCAATCATGTATTTGAATATACAGAGCATATAGTCCTTTGAGGTGGAAGAAAACTTAAAGTAAATTACAATGATTAATGCTGGTCTCATAAAGTCTATGCAATGCTTATCAGATGATAATTTTAAATGTATAAATAAAATGTATTAAATGACATAGGAAAACCACCATATTGAAAACAGTGATAAAATTATTTAAGACTTATTTGTGATATAGTAATGTTTCTTTATCCACATACTAGCCAAGGGCAGTATGTTTAAAATATAGATAAGTTAAATGTTATTCTTTAACATTTATAAACATTTATTATATGTGATGGATGATGGTGCATGACTTAAATAGGTACCTTAAATTGTGTACTGGCCTTACCAACAAATCACATGTACAACTGGACATGTCCTGGGTTTTGATTTCTTGCTTTGAAGATACAATTCTTGAAAATCCTAACTCACAAAGACATACTGTTCCAGATATAAAGGTCAATAAGGCAAGGGTAGGCTTTTCTGCAGAAATGCCAGGACTCCAAAGTCCTCTGAGTGAGATTCCAATGGTGTGAACATTTGAATTCATTGCCGGGTCTGAGGGGTCAGTGGGTGCAGTTGCCAGTCACCTGGGCAAACAGCCCCAGCCATGACCAGGCCGCCATTCCGATAGCTCCCCTGCATTCAAGGTGGCAATGACAGCAGGAAATACCTAGCCACATCTGTCATGTGGCAGGAACATATCTGTTTCTCCCTGTGATGAAAGCCACATACATGGCCAAGGCCACTGTGGGTCACTGACATATTCCTGGCACCGGGGATGCTTGATTGGGGGAGGTCAGTGAGATAAAGAAGCACTTTCTTCCCATCTGAGTTCACACACTCACTGAACTCTACCCACAAATCCCTCTGGGCCTGTGAACCCCAGGATGAAACCCCTGTGCTGCACATGAACTAGACAACAGCTTTCCAACTCCACTGAATCTTACACAGAACTGGGATTTTTATTAGAAAGCACTCTCTCCTGAAAGAAGGAAAAAGGAAACGTACTTCCAAGATTTCTTTTGCTTATCTAACAGTCAAGAGTATGGGGCAGGTATTTTCATCTCACAAGGGAAGAAAGTGACAGATATCACTTTAACACCAAAGGTCAGGGAGTTAAGGGGGAGCCCGGCCAGGCTTCAGTCACCGAGCTGGCAGGCAGACCTGGCTCTGCCTTCTGCACCCAGTCAGCCAGGCTGTGCTTGCAGGCCAGTGCCTGAAGGCCCGGCCAGGTAACTAGGCAAGCCTGCTCCCCAGGTGAATAGCTGTGCCAGGATGAGTTCTCCGGGCCCTGTGGATTCACCCAGCTCTTCCCTCCCGGGCCCAAGGCCCACACGACTGAAGTAGAAATTAGAGTTGAGGAAAGCCGAGTGGACTTCAACTCCTGAAATGATGCTCCCAAAGGAAAGCCCCCCTGACCCCCGGCCATGGCTCTGGCCCACGCCTGGCCCCTCTTTGTCTACGAAGAACATCCCTCCTCCCTCTTTGTCTTTCTCTCTCTTCCCGTCCTCAAACTAACACTGGGTTCGTTCTTTCTCCCCAGATTAAAGCCTACCTTGCAAGTTCTGTTACACTGGATGGTCCTTTGAGCTATAAATACACTGCCTGTCTCTGTAATGATTATCCAAGAACCTTCTTCTGGGACCTTCGGACCAACAGTAAGTATCAGAGCCTTGCAAAGGAAGAACTTCACACGATGGAGGGAAAACCACACGAGAACGGTGGCTCTGGGTCTAGAGCAGAAGTTGGGGCAGAAGGGAAGAGCTGAAGGCCCAGAACAAGGGAGATACTTTTGTAAAATATTTCAGGAAACTGAATCCCAGCAAGAGATGCCTGACACTAATAGACGAGATAAGACACTGGGGGTTAGAGTGTTATCAGGAATGATCTTTGTTCTTGTCTCTTTCAGACACTATGACGATAGCATTTGTGGTTGATATTGTTAAGGATACAGATATTTGCCCCTACGATAGGGCAGTGAGTCCAATTACTGCAAACCGTTTCGTCACCTATCGCAGGATAGCGGTATACTGACCTGAGCGGAAGCCCTCGTCTCTCTGATCTCTCTCCCAGGTGCCTTCCTCCAAGGGAACTTGGTGGGAGGATCTGCCGTGGTCTATAAAATAAACTTCTCATAAGCTTCTCTGTGTACTGTTGTATCTTCCCACAAAAATCTATCCCAGAAAACCCCCAGAGTACCCAGAATTTCTATAGCTTTGGTCTTCTTTTTTTTTAAAGATTTATTTATTTATTTATACAAGCACTGGGTACAGTCAGAAGTGCGGGAGGGTGAGAGGATTTACCAGAGCCAGAGCGGAGAGCAGAGCAGGCAAAAGGACCGAAGCACATTGCTGAGGGGAGCAGCTGACAGCAGGAGAGGTCTGTGCGCCATGTGGGACCCTCGCCCGGTGGCCGGGGATTGAACGGGCGCTGCAGAGGCTGCGGGCAGCTTCGCAACCCAGCGCTCAACTGCTGTGCCACCAGGGAAACCCAGCTTTGGTCTTTCAAAGACCCTTTACTGAAGAGAGTTCGTGGGTCCTCACTGCCCATTGGTATGAAGAGGGAAAGATAAAGAGACAGAGAAGAGAGGGGTCATTCTTGGGAGGAGGGGCTCTAAAATTCAAAGTCAATGAGGGGCACAACCAGGACAGGCACCCAAGACTCCTGACTCCTTGACTCTCCCACATACCACTGCCCCACCAGGCCCTCCCTCAGACACGGGAGATGGAAGTTGCCCTGCATATAGCAGAGGCAGAAGCAAAGCTGGTCCTCTTTGGAGCACCAGTTTTCCCTTGTATTCTGTGGTTTATTTTCAACTGGGAAAAATGACAGACTAAGTAATATGTGGGGACATCAGGCTGCACAGAGATACACTAGGTTAATGAGTAGAACGGGCCTGGAGGGGTTCTGCCAGAGAGGAACTGGGGCTTTCTTAGAGACGGAGATCTGGCTAGGATCCTGGGCACCAAGAGGGCAGGGGGCTTCTAGCAGATAGAACAGCAGGCACCAAGAGCCCAAAGCATGAAGGGTGGCACAGGTAGGGCAGGTGGGCACGTTGATACTGGGTAGGATTAAGGCAAAGTCAGAAAGGCTAGAGAAGAGCATGGTGAGGGGACAGGAGCAAAGTCAATGTGTCTAGGTAAGAGGGCAAGACCATATCTCCTAGACCAATGATTCTACGTGGCACCAGAATCCAGGACAGGGAAACATGATCACTGAAAGAGATCACTTCATATGTTCATTAGAGTTTACTAGCATTGATTGTCTGGATTGATTCAGCAATGTTCTGAATAGTTTTACTTTCATGTTCAGTAACATATATGATATAAGTGGAATATTATTCAGTCATGAAAAAGAAGATACTTCTGCTATTGGGACAAGATGGAATTGTGCTAAGTGAAATAAAGCAAAAAAAAAAAAAATACTGTAGGACATTGCTTATATGTGGAATCTAAAAAGACTGAACTCAGAAGCAGAGAGCAGAGTGATGGTTACCAGTGCTTTGTTGGTGAGGGACTGGAGAGATGCTGGTATAAGGGTACAAACTTCTTGTTAGAAGATGACAAGGCTCTGGAAATCTAATGTACAGTATAGTTACTACATTTAATAATACTGTACTATATTCTTGAAGTATGCTAAGAGAGACCTTAATTATTCTGACCACATAAAACAAGTAGTATGTGACGTGATGGAGGTATTAGTTTAACCTATGGTGATAGTCATTTTGCAATATATAAGTTTATCAAATCAACATATTAAAATATTAAAAACGGGCCTCCCCTGGTGGCGCAGCGGTTGAGCGCTGGGCTGCGAGGCTGCCTGCAGCCTCTGCAGCGCCGGTTCATTCCCCGGCCGCCGGGGAGGGTCCCACAAATGAATAAATAAATAAATAAATGATAAAAATAAAATATTAAAAGCATGTGCTACATGTCAATCTTATCTCAATAAAACTGGAAACCCTTTAAATAAAGTATTAAAAAAAACACTCATTATTTATTTATTCAATAAATATTTATTGAGTGCACTTGGCTTTACAGAAGTGAATCAGGAATTTTTATCCTGATCTTCTGAAATTTATATTGTTTATGGGAGCTAGACAACAAGCAAGTAAATACTATTCTTATCTTCATTTAAGAGAAAATTGAGATGAGATAAAGAAAGTAATTTGCAAAAGACAGTAATTTAGCAGAGCTAGGATTTGAACCAACCACATAGGCTGACTTCTACATACACACAGACACACACACACTCCCCTCCTGCCTTAAGTGGGCCTCCTCAAACCTTCTGCAAACAGCATTTCCAAAATTCTTTATTTTATTTACCTCCTGCACTAGTTCTGTGAAAACCTTTACCTCTTGTGGTACCTTTGTCTACCAATGCAACGAAGTCTTAATTGTCTAGAGTAGCTCTGTCCAGTAAAAATATAGAAAGAAATATATTTTAAGCTACATATGTAATTTAAATTTTTTCTGATAGTCACATGTTTTAAAAAAGCAACAAGTGGTGAAATTCATTCAATGATTTATTGTATTTAGCCTATTATGTATAAGCATTATTTCAAGATGTCATTAATAAAAAAATCATTTCTGAGCTATCTTACATTCTTTTTTCCATACTAAGTTTTTGAAATCCACTGGGAAGTTTACACTCACAACACACCTAAGTTGGTCTAGCCTTATTTCCAGGGCTCCATGGCCATTGGTGGTCAGTGACTACACTAGACAGTACAGGTATTAAATGTTTCCACTATCTCAAACAGAGCTGATGGTCAGAAAAACCTAGAGCCTTAGAGAGCAAAGTCTTCTGCCAGCCCTCATCATAATGCAATGCACAAACTCCTACAACTGCCATCACATGACCACTACTATCTTGATACACTGAAAGAATGATAGATTGCTCTCTTTGAGAAAAGTCAGTTGAAATTAGCTAACTGCTTCACCGATAACAGTTAAGATTGCTGCTTAATCTGTTCAGCACACCCTTGATTTTATTGGTGCATGTTACACTTAATACTTAGTAGAAACATCCTTTTACCTTCCCTGGAAGTCTATTAGGGACAGGAGACTTATTATGGAAATTGGCTCACATGCATATGGAGGCTGAGAAACCCCACAATATGCCACCTGCATGCTGGGGAACCAGGAAAACAATCAGTAAAGTTCAGCCTGAATCCTGAAGACTGAGAATTGGAAACCAATGGTGTAAGTCCCATCCTATAATCAAAAATCCCCTCAAACCAAGAGTGCTAATGTCCAAGGGCAGGAGACAATGGACATCTCAGCTCAAGCAAAGAGGGATTCACCCCACTTCCACCTTTTTGTTCTACTCAGGTCTTCAAGGGATTGAATGATGCCCACTGGCAGTGGTGAAGGGCATCTTCTTTACTCAGTCTACTCATTCAAATGTTAACCTCTTCTTCAGACACCCTCAAAGACATATGCAGAAATGATATTTTACCAGTTACTTGGGCATCCCACAGCCCCATCAAATTTGACACATAAAATTAACCATCACAAGACACTTGCCTGATCTTCCTTCATGACAGAGGGAAACTTTGTATCCTTTGTCAGGGCTATTCTCTGGATAGAAAAAATTGCACAATGTCATGCATATGGTAAGAGTACTAATGGCTAAGAAGGATGTCTAAATGGGTGGAAGGAATAAGGAAATACTACTTTAAGTGTAGTACAGCAAGGCAGACCAAGAATCTCCAAGTTCCTCTAAGAGCTCTGATGAGGAAACCAGACAGCAAGGTCCTGCATACTTGGAAAAGAAGGTAGGGTCATGTCAGATAAGTGGATGCCACAGGAGAGAAGCCATCTCAGCTTGGGTGCCAGAAAAGCAGTAACTGAGACACAGGCAAATAAACAGGAAGCTTATTTTGCAATGTGATGTCAAAAGGGTGAGGAACTCGAAGGATGAAAAAGAAAAGATGGAAAAAAATTGAGCAAGCAAATAGTACCAAGCTGGCTACTATTTAGGAAACTAGTTGATCAGTTGGGAAAGAATTTCTGAGGTGCCTGATGAAATATGTCTCAAAAGGATGAAAAAAGTCATTTATCCATTGGCTTTTTTGCCCAAGGAATGGTCAAGAGTGGCCCTTCCACATATCACCTCTCATATCCTTCTGAATTATATACGTGTGCGTGCTGAGTACACTGCTATAGGCATCCAGGCCTCAGCATCATAGAGGCAAGCTGTGACACCTACTGGAATCATTGTTGAGTTACAGTAGCATGAATTTGGTCAAAGCCACTGATTTTGATTTCAGTGACTGTGACAATGTGTGAGGACAAGCAGAATCAAAATGAGTACTGACCCACTTACTAACAAGAAGAAATAAGCCAAGTACAAGCAACGCCAGCAGAAAATAAGCCTGGGCTAGACACCAATCTTGCCCTGACTACTCACTAAAAAAGATGGATGGAAAGAGGTACAACAAAGAAGTGACTGAATCTTGAACCCAGAGCAAATGAGAAATTCTTGGATTGAAGTGGAGTTATCATAACATGGCTTCCTTTGGTTTACGCATTGGGTAGATTATGAAAAGCAACACATATAATTGATTTGTGCCCTATATGATTATCCTTGGGTGATTCTCATTGAGTCTTTAAATGACTGTAAGACCAGTCATTGGAAAAGCAATTTTGTGGTTGACCTCTTCAAGTAAACCGATGTATTACAACTACTTGAATCAAATACTGATGGAAACCATGACAAGTTTCTGGCTCAGTTATGGGTTATTTTACTTAATTATATATAAACTTAGAGATGGAGCCATCTCATCAGTCTTATTGCCCAGGCTGTAAACATTTGTGATTGTATGTCATTAATCAACTGGATTAATTAATTCTGCACTCAGTATCCTCACTAAGTAAGGCTACATATTGCATGCTCTTGAAAGCAGAAACGCGGCTCAGGTGACTCCATGTCTAGAGCACATCTATATGTCAGCCTGAATAGTTCAATGAAGTTACCAAAACAAATTCTCACAAACACAATGGCTCAAAAGAATTCAATGTTAGGATTTTTTTTGATGTTTATTGAGGTAACATTCATTTACAACATTGAATGTTTTAAGGGTGCAGGTTCATACCTCTATAAATGTAAGTTATCATAGTATGCCCACCACC